AATTCTATGAATTAGTGTTCTTTCTTTTTTAAAAGATTGGTAAAATGTAGCAGTGAAGCCACCTGGTCCAGGGTTTTTCTTTTCATCACTGATTCATTCTTGTTGCTTGTTGTGGGTCTACTAAGGTTTCTTTTTGTCCTCTTGGAACAATTTGGGTAAATATATGTGTTCAGAGATTTTGGCCATTATCTTCCAGGTGTTCCCACTTGTCATTATTGTCCTCTCAATAATCCCTAATGATCCGTTGTGTTTTGGTGGTGTTGGTTGTAATGTCCCCTTGTTCATCTCTAATTTTGTTTACTTGGACATTCTTTACTTTTTCTTGACTATTGTACCTAAAGGTTTTACCAGTCACCAGCTGTGACCCTTTTGCTCTAACTAGATGGAAATTGTGACCAGGCAAAGAAAAGCTCTTCCAGATATTTGATCCCTCAGTCTGCCAACGGGACTGACGGCAGCAGGTGGGCTCCTTAGTGTTCCAATTCCTGTAGAAGCCTGGGTACTTGGGCTCTTAGCCCTAGAAGTGTTACAGCTCTGTGCAGTCACCCACTCTCCAGCTTCTCAGCCTTCCAGCCCACTGTCCTTAGCTCAACCTCTTCTGTGGCTATCAGAGGCCTCCTGCCTGGCCCAGGAGGTGAGTAAGCCTAATTCCTACAGACTCCAGGGGATTGAGCCTACAGTCTGAAACCACTGGTGTAGACCTGCTGATTTTGTCTATAAGGGTTGGCCTGGGACTGAAACAGTGAAGGCAGATTATATTTCTTTAACTTGAGTTTTGGACTGTAAAACCCTTCAATTTACTAAGATTTCATTCCAGAAACTAATTGTCATCCTTAATGTTCTTAAATTATTCCCTGAGGAACTAAACTGATGCAATTAATGTTTCCTAGTACATGGAGCTGGTGAGACAGCTCTGAGATAGCTCAGCAGGTAAAGGTGCTTGCCCCCAAGCCTGGTGACCAGGACCAACATGGTGGAAGGAGAGAACTGACTTCTGCAAGTTGTCCTCTGACTTCCACACGTACACTGTTCGATGGGCGCCCCACCCCATACAAAATAAAGAAAATGTAATTTTTAAAAAGGTAACTTTTGATAGAATCTGATTATATTCACCATCTATCCAAACTAACTCTACGAAGAAACCACTAGAACAGTAAGTGATTTCAGGTAGGTCACACAATGAACATACAGAACTCAGTCATTTTCATACTGAGGGAATTAGAAAATAAAATGGAGGCAGGAATTCTATCACACAGTGGCAAAAAATTACGTAAAATGCCCAAGAATTATCTTAAAGACTAAAGGACTTAAATGAAGAAAAAACATTGCAAAATTTCATCAGAGGACCTAAATAAAAATGAGTTTTGACAACGTAGTAGGCCATGTTGTGTCTGTAGTTGGGATAGCCGTGTGTAACCCAGATGAGCCAGTCTTCCAGATTTATAGACTCAACTGTTTCTTTGACAGCTGAATAATAGCTCTACTCCATGTATTGGGGGAAATCATTGGCTTTAAAAAAAAATCTCTAAGCATTTCCAGAGCTGACTGAGGGGCTTATGTTCCCCCTGATCAAAATAAACTGCACTTATTTTCTGTTCTCTTATCACTTGATCATTCATGTGTTCATTCATTCACTATTTACTAGACATTTATTGAGTGCTTACCATGTTCTAAGCACTCCGAAGACACCCACTACCATTACTTATGGCTGCTGTGGGGAGGGCACTGACTCTGCTGATCACCCTTGCCTCAAACCGTTATCTTGCATTGCCCTTGTGAAGCCCCGGTAGCACTTGGCTACTTTATGCCAAGACTTATCCTTGGGTTTTTAGGATGCTGGTCGTGGATGAGCATTGCAGGACAGAAGGAATACAGGTGTAGCATGCAGTATGGACAGCGTGAAGCAAGAGGCAGTGACAAGCTGAAGTTCATGGGCATCCCCTGTGGGCTATTTCTTCCCCCATCCCTATCTGTCATTCAGCCTTACTGCCACATGTTTTGGAGGTGCCTCTCCCTGTCCTGCCATCTTCTGCTCAGCCCGTCCACCTCTACCATTCTGGGTCTCCTAACCCTCCTTTCCCAGCATCAGTGTTTGGAAACTCAAGCCTCCTTTATCATTATTTTTTAACTAAAAGCAATTTAATTAGCTCTGTCTCTCCTTACTTTGGGGGAGAGGATTTAATCTGCTTAAAGAGATCACTTAGCTGTTGTCCCTTTGCAAAGAGTAATTCCCACCCCTTGGAAGACATTCCGATCTCTACAGCAAGGTATTTAAAAATATTTCTCTTTCTTCTTACTACATTTGGATTTTAAAGAGAACAAGTTTTTCCTAAACAAATAGAAGAACACTCCTATTGTAATCCCAATACTCTATAATAAAATTTCCTTAAAGTTAAGTGTGTGGAAAAACTTCAAAAGACAATAGATCAGGGGGCTGGAGAGATGGCTCAGTGGTTAAGACCACTGGCTGCTCTTCCCAAAGACCCAGGTTCGAATCCCAGCATCCACATGGTGGCTAACAACCATCCTAACTCCAGTTCCAGGGGATCTGACACCCTCTTCTGACCTCCAGGGGATGACACGACATGGGTGCACTTATGTACATGCAGGCAATAATGTTCATACACATAAAATAAAAATAATAAAACATTTTTCAAAAAACCAATAGGACAGATCTTTAAAAAACGGGGTAATAGAGAAGTAACCTCACCAATGATTTAATGGAAACACTGTTTAATGAAGAATCAACAAACAGAGAAACTGAAGGTCTCACAAAGTTCAGAAACCAGTCCAAAAATATAAAAAGCATTTAGAATGTAGTAATGCAATAGAAAATCCCAAAAGAAAAAAATACAGGAAAATATTTATGTAACATGAGACCAAGGAAGACCTTTCTAACCATGGGGGAAAGGGGAGGAAGTGTGTGTGGCATTCTTATTGTTTGTTTTCCAATACAGGATGTTCTACAACATGAGTGAAGCTTCAAAACGTTATGCTAAGTAAAAGGAGCCAGTCAAATGCCACGTATTCTGCGATTCTCTTTATATAAACCATCCAGAATAGGCAAAACCATAGAGACAGAGAGTAGATTAGTGGTTGCCAGGGAAGCAGGAGAGTGACTAATGGTGGTCATCAGATGGGGATGGTGGATGAACAACTTTTAAAAAAATGTATTGTTTGAGAATTTCATACATACATATAATGCATTTTGGTCAAATCCACCCGTTCCCTCCCTTCTGACTCCACCGATAGCCCCACCACTATTTTTCCCACCCAACTGTATGTACTCTTTTAAGTCCTCTGAGTCCACTTAGTGCTGCCAGTGTGCCTAGGTGTAGGGCCATCCACTGGAGCATGGGCGGGTCAAATGCCTGAAGAAAATGGACACTCCCTTCTCTAGAAGCCATCAATTGCCAGAGATGGGACTTTGTGAGTCCCTCCCCAGTCCATGCTGTGATTTTGGTTGACTTGATCTTCTGCGAGTCCTTTGTCTGCAGGCACAGGCACTGTGAGTTCATGTGCACTACAGCCCTGTCCTCTCTGGAAAACAGTTTTCCAGCAGTGACCACTCCTCCTTCTGCAATGATCCCCAAGCCTTGCCTGGAGGGATGTGGTGTAGATGTCCCATTTAGGGCTCTGAGCATTCCACAATCTCTTACTCCAGGCACGTTAATCAGCTGTGAGTCTCTGTATTTATCACCATCTATTGCAAACTTCTTCTCTGCCGAGGGTTCACCAACAAGTTATGTACCTTGTGATATATGAATTATATCTCAATTTAAAAAATATATTAAAGCAAGTTGATTCCACTTGAAGGGGTATAAGAAAAAGAAAACCTGGCATGCTGGTGGAGAACAATCAAAGAGTATGAATTCAAAGGTCTTAACATAAATGAGAAGCATATGAAGTACAAATTAAAGCAATGAGATGGAATGTTTACTTGGCAGGGTGAAGAAACCAGAAGTTCCTGTTCTTGGGTGGAACGTAGTCTAAATGGTTATTCTAATATGCTGGTCTTGGGGAGAATATTAGCAATAGTCTAATATTACCTCAAAAGTCTTATATTTTGTATTTGCGTTTCTATTTCTAGGAACGTCGCAAATATTATTTGCTATTTAAAATGGCAAGTGTTAAAGTGATGTTAACAACACATAAACAAGCTTCTGCTGCTAAGGGGAAGAAAGAGGTCCAAATAAAAGACAGACATATGAAGTACATACTCAAAGTCTGGAGAGACACACTCCAAAGTCAGAGTGGTAATTGCCTGATATTGGCCAGACAATACATAATTTTATTTTCTTGTTGATTCTTATCTGTGTTTTGAGTTCACCATATTTTCTAAATATTCCATACTAAAAGTATCCTCTATAATAACATTTTAAATTTATTTTTAATATTTTTATTTTGAATTTTATTCATTTATTATTATTATTATTATTTTGTTGTTGTTGTTGTTGTTCTGGGGTTTTTGAGACAGGGTTTGGCTGTGTAGCCCCAAGCTGGCCTTGAACTCTCCATCCTCCTGCTGTGACCTTCTGAATGCGGGAATTGTGAGTGCGGACCACCACACTCAGCTAATACATTTATTTTGAATCCTACAATTTCAAGTGTGAGAAAGCTCTCTGGTTCTTGTTTGGGTTTGGGTTTGTGATGATCTTAGCAAGAATAAAGTGATAAAAGACAAAACTCCTTGTTTCTCCTAAAACTAGAGACTCTGAAGAGATCCGCAAACAGTCCTCAGTCATTCCGAAGCCAGATCTCCCTCCCTCTCTGCTCTACAAGTTTCCCTTGGAGGGGTATATGGTTTTAAGATTTGGTCAGGTGGCCAATGGTAATTGTATAACATAGAACATTATAAATTAAACTGTTCTTAAGATCTTTCTGCATAAGGTACAGACATTTTAGGCTTTCTAACAATGCTCATGTTCATGTGGAATTTTTCCTAATTAGAAATTTATGTCTCCTGGATGTAACCATTTTTTCTCCATTTTCCTAGACAGAATCATGAATAAACTGGAGGCTCAGCAGGACCAGATGATACCATGAAGAGAAGTTTACAGGCCCTCTATTGCCAACTGTTAAGTAAGTCCTGCTGCATTTATTCTTTACCTGAAATATGCCAATGTTACCACTTGCTGAGTGCCAGAAACCGTCTGGAGGAAGACCAGGGTTGGAGCAGTGAGAAAGGACAGTACGTTCTCCCTCTGGTCCATCTCGATCAGCTATAAAGCATTATGTTGCTCTCACGTCATGGTCATCAGTCATACTGTAGACTCCATTATAATTCCAGCGTGGCTTGTTAAGCATCGTTAGTTCAAAACACACATCAGAAACTATTGTTCTTGGTTCTGTGATATACTCTAGGGTCTTGCCATAGCACCTTGTACAGATTCCTCAAGAGAATGAAATAGTGGATTGTATTGTTTGGATTTTGTCACATAGGACCTGTTTTCATTCAGTGACCACACAGCCTTTGACTTGGAATGTTATGCATAGTTACAGGTGGTTCTCAAATTTTGAGTGAAAAAAATATGATTTCTTTGCTTGTAGTAAATTAATGAGTGTTTGATTATGATTCTCTGTACATTGAGCATGAGGTTTTGGACTGTGCCACTAGTGATGATACTTGGGATGGGAATTGCTACTGAGTTGAGTATAAGGACTTGGATACTCTGGCCAAACCATGTGGAACAACAGACATTAGCCCCTCCTGAGTCAAACCAAGGCCATTGAGTTGGAGATCTTGGAGCTCACTGTGTTTGTCTGTCTCTGGTCAAGGCCTGTCTTTCCTAGACTAAGCAGTGCCTGTTAATTTTGCTGAGGAAATAAAATGAATAAAACGGAAGAGATTGAGATGCAAATCACTAGTCAGTCAGCCTTAGCATTTTCTCATTCAGGTTATAGTGTTGAGGCACCAGTGCAAAGCGCTTTATCTACACACAGCATTCTGGATGAGTGTTTTAATTGACTCATTTCTTCTGCCAAATTCTAGTCCCAGAAACACAGATCACATCAGCAGCCTGGCAGAAAGCTGCCAAGTCTTATGCGGCTCTTCTGCAGGACTGGGGGGTTGTCGCCTTTCTTTATTTCCTTTTTTTTTTTTTTTTTTTTTAATGATAAGCTTGTTTGTCAGAGAAAAGGCTTTAAAGATTGAAGAAGCAATGTCATCAAGAAATGATTAACTCTGCCTTGATGGGAAAAGGGGACCTTTGAAAGATAAATGGGATTTCTCACATACGAAAAACTCCCAAGTTTTATGGTGCTCTTCTGCAGGACTGGGGGGTTGTCTCCTTTTTTTTTTTTCTTTTTTTTTTTTTTTTTTTAATGATAAGCTTGTTTGTCAGAGAAAAGGCTTTAAAGATTGAAGAAGCAATGTCATCAAGAAATGATTAACTCTGCCTTGATGGGAAAAGGGGACCTTTGAAAGATAAATGGGATTTCTCACATACAAGCACACACTCCCCGCACCTCAGAGAAAGCGGGGCAGGCTTTGCTGGAGGAGAATCAGGAAATGGCAAAACAGCGTAACAAACTTGAGAAGCAGCAAAATGTTTGTTGAATCAGCTCTGCTGATTGTATGCCCTGAGCCTACATATTATTTAAAGTCATATATTATTAGAAAGGCATTATGTAAATTATTATACAGTTCAAGTACTCTACACAGTGTCCATCCTTCTAAACTGAGCATCTATTTTTAAAGCTGAAGTGGTTAGACATCAAATGCCCAGCTGCAGACACTACTGATATCTCACTTTCTTGTTTACAAAGATGCTGAGTTACACAAACAGCACAGATCAGGTAGTACTTTGTTGGTTAGGAGGTAGGCAGTAGCCTTCACTAAACCACCCTGGGTTTTGGCATGAATGTATATACAATTCCCATGTGCTTTTGGTAACCAGATTATATCTTTATTAACAGTGCCAACAAACAAAATGTTTTTGTCATGTCAAAACTGACTTGAAGACTAAAGAAGCAACACAAATTTATTACATTGTTTGATGCAATTCAGTAATATTTATCACTTAAAAAACTTGACTGAGTATTCTGATTATTGTTACACAGCAAACTACTCCAAAATTTCATGACTTAAAGCCATCGTAGAATTTATTTTGCTTAAGAATCTGCAACTTGGACAGGACTTGGCAGAAACTTTTATCTCTGCTTCATATTGTCTGGGACCTGGGCTAGAGTGACCCCAAAAGCTGGGAGCTGGAGCAACAGGGGCTGACCTAGCATCTCTGTCTCCCTGAAGGCTTCTCTCATGGAAAGTCTGGACTTCCACAGAGCATGATGAGCATAATGTGATCGGACTTCTTCCCTGCTGCTTAGTATCAGTAGGCTGTGACAACAGTCAAGATGAATGCTTCTCAGCAATGAGACTTGAAAGTGCAATAATAACACTATCAGTCAGCTTTCCACCACTATTGCAAAGCACCTGAGACAGGCTGAATTTTTAAAGAGTTAGCTTTGGCTCAGAATTCCAGAGGGCAAAGTCTAGGGGTCACATTGGGTGATGACCTTCTTGCTGGCAGAGTCCTGAGACAGTACAGAAAATCATGTCAGGACACAGGGACCACATATGTATATACATGTGTGTATGTGTGTATATGGCTTCCTTCCCCCATTCTTATAAAGCTACTGGGAAATCCAGTCCCAGGAAATCCATCCTAATGACTTTATGTAATTCTAATCATTTTCTGAAGGTCCACCTCTAAACAGCATAGACACATTTAAATTCCTAACCTCTTGTACAAAGGAGGCTAAATTTCAATAATGAAGCCTTAAGAGACACTCATGCATATCCAAGTCACAACAAATACTTACACCACATTTTATAAGCCCAGCCCTGATTCACAGGTAGATGGAGAGCAGAAACCGTTTCTTCTCTCAAAGAGTCATAACAATTTGTGGTTAGCTTTGGTCTTCATAGTGAGTTATGTATTCAGAAATTCAGTAAAACCATGAATTAGCCAGGTGTGGTGGGTTATGCCAATATCCCAGCACTCAGAATCCTGAGGCAGAAAGATTACAAGGTTCAGGCCAATCTAGATGCGACCCAGTGTTCCTGGCCAGCCTGGGCTATATGACAAGACTGAAAAGAAGCGGACAAAACAAGGAAGCAAACAAATAACATTGAATTTCTAGTAGACTTGAGTTTTCCCCATAAGCCAAGGAACTGCCAAGGATCTCCTCAGGATCTGCTATGCCCCCATACCACTTCTCCATCATCTCCTTCCTACCAAAGCCACATCCTTCAAGATGGAGAAGTGGTATGGGTGAGTTGGTTTAGAACTGGCTCAGGGTCCCCAGGCAGTGAATGACACCTCTGCTGTTCACACCAGGTCTCTCTGGCTCCTGTCAACCTGCCTTTCCTTTCATCCTGCCATGGAGTCCTCACCACACACAAGAAAACTCAGCAGTGAGACCCCTCCACCTATAGCGAAACTGTGATACTGTGATAGCTCTAACCCAACATTAGTAAAACTCGAATCCTCTTAGTCGTGTCAGGTGAAGTTGGAAATTCCCAGCCTCTCTGTGGATCACAGTCTTTTGGGGCTGTGTCTGTGGAAGATAAGGGAATTTTGAATCGACAAGGGCAATTGAGATTTTAATATTGTGCTTTTATTGAGTTTGATCTCCAGCACTGCAAAAAAAATTTACTTTTCTACTTTTCCTTCTACTAAAGTCATCCTTGCCCTTTTATTTTTTACTGTTTCCTGGCCTTCACCCTGCAGTATAGTACTGGGTGTTTCATTCCAGCAGCTTCAGGCTTCAGGGCAAGTTTAATACCTTTTTTATATGATACCTTGGAGCAATGAAAACCTGAGGAAGTGCATGGTAATGAGAACCTTTATGGTTATATAAAAAGCAAATGTGACCTTCTTTTTGACAGATATGTAATCAGTTCAGTGTGAAGCTAGTTCTAAGAATACCTGGTGTGCTGGACACACCTGGGAAGAGGGAACCTCAGTTGGGGAAGTGTCTCTGTTGGATTGGCCTCTGGACATATCTATGGAGCACATTCTTGACTATTGAGTAATGCGGGAGGGCCCAGAGCCCAGCCCATTGGTCATGCCAACCCTGGGCAGGTGGTCCTGGGTTATATAAGAAAGCAGGCGGAGTACAGGCCAGAGGAGCAAGCCAGTAAGCAGCACTGCTCTGTGGTCCGTGCCTTAGGTTTCTGCCCTGAGCTCCTGCCCCAGCCCCTCTCCCTGATGAATTGTAAGCAATAAGGTGAAATAAACTCTTTCCTCCCCAAGTTGCTTCTGGTTATGGTGTTTATCACAGCAGTTTAAACCAAAATAAAACACTTGGGTTTTTGAACTTAAAGACCAGAGTTCAAATCCTAGTCCTGCCACTTTATAGAATACTTGTATTAGATAGCCTCAGTGAGCCTCATATAAACTATGATATGACTGCCCCCTTCCTAAGGTGATATAGAATGAGATACATGCTACATGGAAAGTTACAGCAGGTGCCAGATCCCTTGTTGATCTTTATGCCTGGAAAAGATGAGCACAGCCTAACTGTAACGTTTGTATGGGATCTTCTGATTTACAAAGCATTTTCTCACTATTTAATCCACACAAGCTTGTAAGACAAATGGAGTATCAATTGGTCCCATTCTACAGAGGAGCAAATCAATCAAATGAAGGCTGCCTTTTCCTAAGCCATGCTATAATCTTGAAGGAGAGAGAGAGAGAGAGAGAGAGAGAGAGAGAGAGAGAGAGAGAGACAGAGACAGAGAGAGAGAGAGATACAGAGACAGAAAGGAGGAAGTGCTTCCTAATAGAAAATAAGGATCATCATCATAAATGCCTAAAAACATGTAGAAACATGACATTATCCAGGAGACACGCGTCTAGGTCAGAGTTAGCAGGTTTGGCCTTTGCCTGGATGGTGTGTGTGTGTGTGTGTGTGTGTGTGTGTGTGTGTGTGTGTGGGTGTGTGTGTGTGTGGGTGTGTGTGTGTGTGGGTGTGTGTGTGTGTGGGTGTGTGTGTGTGTGGGTGTGTGTGTGTGTGTGTGTGTGTGTGTGTGTGTGTGTGTAAAGAAGATTATTAAGTGCATTCTCGTTGCTGTG